CCCGTTTTCGCCATAACTGCTCCCGAAACATGTCTTCCATCTAATAAAACGGTTCAAATTAAACATCAATCAAAATAACGCAAATTAATATAAAATGTAATCATTTGCGATACAACTAAAATATTATAAACAACAAGTATAGCAACAAAAATATACATGGCAAATATACTTCTAACTAAATAATTAATCTTAACATTGACAAAATCAAACTAATATGTTCACCATAGTTCCAAATATAATTTTCCTACTAAACATAATATCCTATCCATCATTCAAACGAAAATAAAATATGCGTCATTACCTTGGACTAGAACGAGGAGGGAGGGATTTGGCCGGGGAATGGAAGGGAAGGGAGGGAGGCAGCAATGGAGGGCCGGGCTGCCGCCGTTCATGGCGCGGCCGCCGGCGTGCTTGGCGACGGGCGGCAGCGGGAGCGACGCCTAGGCCGCTTTGCTGCTCGGGCAGCGGGACTGGCCGCAGCGGAGGATATACCCGGCTCTGCCGCGCCATGGATCAGGGCGCGGCACTGTCGCGCCAAGATCGGTGGCGCAGCAGAGCCCTGCCCCGTCAGCGGTCAGCACTTCTGGTCGCCGCCACGTCAGCTTCCTGCCGCGCCACCATGCATGGCGCGACACAGGCATTTGGCCGCGCCAGGGAAATAGGCGCGGCCAAAAATGTTAGTTTTAAAAAAAAAACGAGAGTGTTAGATTTAAAATTAGTTTGGAAAAAGTGTTAAAATTAAAAAAAATCTATCAGGAAGGAAGTGTTATTACCTCTATTTTGTTTGACGCAGCCATTTGGAGTGTATGGGTTGCCGATGGTTCCCTTGGGACACTGGCATGAATAGTTGCCAGGTAAATTTTGGCAATCACCAAAGCATTTATCCTGAAGCGTGCACTCATCGATATCTAAGTAATAATCAAGGACAAAAACTAAGCAGAGCGGTAATATATTGTGTACTATATATATAGGATTGGATATATAGATAGAAAAACAAATAAGGAAATAAATACCATGGCATCCGTCGCTGAGATAGGCGTTGCCTAGATAACCATTGTCGCATCGGCATACGTAGCCGATGATGTAGTTAACCGTACGGCTGGTGAGATGGCAGGTGCTGTGACTGCTATGGCACGCGCTGGTGCCCAACAAATCTGCTGGCCACGTCGCGTTCCCGGCGCGCGCTTCGTTCAGCCGCCATGGCACGACGCTGGATGCCAGCTCCCATTCCCGCAGCTCTTGAACCGCGAAGCGGAGGCCCATGTCGTCCTGCTGCCCCAATAGCTCCCGAGGGAGCGGCAAGTGGATGAGGCGCATGGTGGAGTCATCCAGGGAGATGTTCAGGATTAGCGCCGCGGTGGCGCCGGCGTATTCGTCAGCGATCCACAACGCCTTGCCTGTGCCAGCGGGCTTGCAGGTGAGGTTGAACGATGATGGTCTCAGGTGGCACCCGGGTTCCAGCCCGAACGGAAATGGCACGCTCACGTCTCCGCAGCGGGTCGGGCAGCCGGGCAGCCCGATCAGCGGCTCGCCGCCCACCGCTGCGTCGTCAGCCTCAGCCATCAAGAGCTGCTGCTAGCTGCAAGCGTGCAACCACACCAGCGCCGCGCTGGTGTGTTGTTCCAGCACTGATAGTTGCGCATCGTCTCAACTCTCTTCTTACTAAAAATTCCCCACTCCATGCATCTTTCTTTCCCTGGACAAATATATATATATATATAACTACTGTTCTGCAGCTTGTCATAGAATAACTTATTCTGTGGTCACTTTGAATTACGATAATTACCATGCTAACTTACGAGACTACAATAACTCCTTACTAAGTGATTTACTATAACATTATGGTAAATATCACGTGAGTTATAGTAACACGAGTATCGTAAATGTATATTCATGTTATGGTAAATTGGTACAAACATTATCGTAAATCAAGGTGGCTATAAAATAAGTTATTTTATGGCTAGTTGCAGAATAGACTTATATATATATATATATATATATATATATATATGATGAGGCTAAAATGTACCTGGGTGCATTCTTAGAAGCGAGTGCACCCGACACGAGAGCGCGAGCCGCGAGATGTGCGGCGAGCCGCGAGTGCGAGGTAAGTCCATGCTCCTGCATGCAAAACTAAATGAAGACAACCAATTACGTGATGCCACCTAACAGCTTAACTCACCTACCAGGAAGCATGCATGCAGGGAAGCTTTTGTTGATTCCAAACGAAAAAATACGATATCTTCTAAACCAAAGATCCGATTTTAGATCTGTTTGAAGTAGGTTGTTGAAAAAATTATGCTTAACAAAACGAGATATATGAAGGGTGTATTTGATAAAGTTTTTTTTTCAAATACGTATTTGCAATATGTTGTACTATGAGTTGCAAGCACTTCTACAACACAATTGTAACTTGGCTGTAGCGTATTTACACTGGTCGCAACTAATTATAATCTAGTGTAACCTTGTTACTTCTGGTTGCAATTATTCACTACTTAGTTGCAACCCAGTTATTACTCTGATTGTAACCAGGTATGCTTGCAACTCCTACTGAATAGAAATGCAACCAGTTAGTACTCAATTGCAGCTAGCAAGTACTCACTTGCAACCTAGTTGGTAGATGCACCTGTCCAGTTGCAACCCCAGTTAGTATTGGTTGCAACTCGTTACTACACAATTACTACTGGTTGCAACAAGTTACTACCCGATTGCAAACCAATTACTACTTATTACAACTAGTTACTATTCAATTGCAATACAGTTGCTATTCAGATATGATTGCAACTCAGAATTGCAACTTGGCGTGATTATAGTGACCAGATGCATATAATACACAGAGTTATAACTAGTTGCAACTAGGTGATAGACAGAGTTGTAATCGGTAGTACATTGACATGCAACTCGCTTAAAGGATAAAAAATATATCCATATTAGATCTAGTTTTGTTTAGAATATTTTTTTGAGTCGGATGCAACAAACGGTTTGTCAATCAGGGTTACGATTTAGGAGAAAATTTGTTTTAAAGATTCGAACAAACAAAAAAATCCATGCATGCATGTATACAGTCTAGTGGGATTTGTATGCTAGGTGGCTTTACGTGGTAGGTGGAAAATACAACTTAACTTAGGAAAGCATGCACTGCATGTTCGCTTGGACGCGCGCGCGCGGGCAGGGAGCATGATTTTGTTTCGTTCGGGGTTCAGGGGGAGGAACTGAACCTTGAACCTGAACCTGCTGATGAATCGCCAAGTTGGGGAGGTCGGTGTGGACTATGATAAGGCAAGTGGCAGCAGTTGAGTTCGCATTGGACTGAGACAGACTCCCAACTCCAGGAGGGACGGGGGACGGGGGACGGGGGACGGGGACGGGGACGGGGACGGGGACGATGGATGACCAACACCAACAACACCCGATCGAGCAGGAAAACTCCACAACCAGCATGGCCTATCAAGTAGGCGCTGGTTTTGTCTGGGGAAGCAGCAGAGGGTTTTTATTTTATTTTTATCTCTACTAATAAAGAAGAAGAAAAATGGGTGCCGGAGTTATACCAGCCAGCCCAGCCGATTTTATTTTATTTTTATAATTAACCATGAATGAATGATTGAATCCTGATCTTGCACGACATTGACTGGACTAACCGGACCCCCCATCCGCATCCGGGTCAGGGCGCCTCAAAAGTAGCTACTAACTGATTGGATGACAATGGGACAATGAGTGCTTGTTTAGTTCCTAAAAAGTTTTTTAAAAAGTGCTATAGTAGCCATTACATTGAATCTTACGATACGTGCATGGAGCATTAAATGTAGACGAAAAAAACACTAATTACATAGTTTGATTGGAAATTGCGAGACGAACGTTTTGAGCCTAATTAGTTCATGATTGAACAATAATTGCCAAATAAAAACGAAAGTGCTACAGTAGCCAAATTCTCAAAATTCGCAAAGTAAACACAGCCCGAGAGAAACCACCATAAGAGGAGGAGTAGTACTATATCAGATGCATGCTACGGACCATGTGCTAATCAGCCAAGCGAACAGGACAAAACTCGGCCAGTAGAAGCCGCAGCTAGCAGGACGGGGACCGGCCGCCGGCGGTGCTGTGCCGGGCTCCTCCGATCGATCCTACTGTACGATGTGAGTGACTGGCATGACACCAAGAATCTCAGTTGTTAGGAGGGCAGTGTGGTTGCCTGGTTGGTATAGTGGATTATACGTGCTAGAGAAGAGAACGAAAGGTGACCGTTCTCATCACGACCCGCGGAACGCTCGTCACCTGCCGCTTTTCAGCGTACCTGAGGAATCATCAGGCGTTGAGGGATCGACGCGAGAGGGTGAGAGCGTCTGATCCGACGACTCTGATCTAATTGAGCTGCCCGGTTGAATGATTTCGATGTGAAACCGTACTGGAGTAGCTCTCAATATTGATCATTGGCGTCTGGGAGGAGTACTCCGTATGTTGCAATTGCCCGTACGCCAATGTTTTCGATGTGAAACCATAGCCAGCAGTGCTGTCCACTTCCAGTTCCAATAATAATTGTACTAGTACTGATGCTCATCACTGATGAGCTACCAGCAGCTGTGTGGCCTATGGCCTCAGTTGGATCTTGCTTTGTTCACATGTGACTAAAAAGGTTTCATCCTTACGGCCACAGCTAGCCATCAAATTATTGAAATGATAGTTTAGTCAACATGTTGTGGACGTCACTGCATCAGAATATTGTCGAGACCTAGGGCATGCGATCTGCATTCTCCATCTTTTATATCGCACTCTAATAAGATATTCATCATAGTTTATGAATATTCCCACACGGCTAATGGAATGATGGCTGGAGGATCTTAATAGTGTATGACGTGTTGCATGCACAACGCAATGTTGGGTCTTCTGTATGCTAAATAATTGGCTTGTGAGATACAAAATGGGTGGGGTTGTGGGAGGATATTAGAACGGTCAAGTCTATGCTTCTCTTCTTGTATCCCTTATCTGTCTCTATTATGAGCTCAATGGCCCCCACAAAGTTGCTATTTATTCATGTGGTGATATCATCAGATACGATTCTGCTGGTATGAATGGATCATTCACCAATCATATCCAATATTACTACTGCTTTCATGTAATTTCTTGAAAATTTCGTCACCACCAGGTTGGCCTTTTGAACGTTGACGGATTCTATGACCCTATTCTGTCTTTCATCGACTTGGCTGTCAACGAAGGTTTCATCACGGAGGCAGCGAGGCACATCATCATCTCAGCCCCAACAGCTAAGGAGCTAGTTATGAAGTTGGAGGTTTGACCCGGCCCCTTGCTAGCTACATTGCTCTTGTTTATATTCAGCGTTCCTAGAGTAATATGAAACTGCTTGTTAGTTCACTGATTGTTCAGTTCAATCGGTTTTGTTTTTGGCCAGGACTATGTCCCGGAGTATGACATCGGCTTGGTCTGGGAGGAGCAGAAAGCCCAACAGCTTGGTCCCTGAGCTGGAGTCTGGGATAACCTCATCCTGATGATCCATCTCACCTTCCAGCCTGCTGCGTCATATCTAGTATCACATACATATATACATATATATATTATATATAACTAACCGTAGCCTGCCACAAATATTTTGTTCATCTGCTAAGTCCTAACCAAAGGGTAACTCTCGGAAGGAATCAAGGGGACACCACACTAGCGTGCTGTGCTGGTAACCTCTATTCTATGTGCTGGCGTTTTGGTGGTGTAGCATAGCAGCATGATTAGCAGTCCAGTGCCGTAGATCTTGTTTTTTCTAGAATGATGATTAGTATTAGCAAGCAGTCCAGTCACCAGTGCTGTAGACATCTTAATTTGATCCCGGAAGAAATATATATATACACTTATTATTGTGATCGAAGCTATAGCCAGGTAGTAGCAAGCAGTGATGCGTCTCCATGGTGTTTGGGTCTTTGCTGAATTTTGTATTGCACGTGGTGTTAGTTATTATGCTGCGTGCGTGTCCATTTCCATCCTGATTGGTTTCTAACGAGCTCCAGCTGTGATTGCGCTTGTATTTGCACACGCATGATTGATCATGTGCCTCATTGAGCTTGCCAGATACTAACCATATGCTTGCGTGGCGTGATTGGTAGTATGTTCTTGCATTATCCTCGGATAAACCATTATCTGCCCAAAAATCCAAGTGTTTCTAGAAGCCCAAACTCATGTGTAAAGCATTTTTCTTCCTTTATTCCACAACATTTCTCTGAAATTGGGAAAATGGCTAGCCCATTTTTCTGGAACCAGGAAAATGGCCCACCCACAACTCTTCCGGGCCTGAGGCCTGTGACTGTGACCCACGAGGTTAAGGAATTGGCCCTGTTTTTGCTTCAACGCGTCTGGCCCAGGAAGATGGCACGCTGTGACACACACAAATCCAAAATCTTTCCGCGAATTCTAAATTCTAAACGTTTGTAAGCATTTAATCCGCTCAATCATAAAAAATGAGCAGTACTTAATCCCTGCCAGACCAATAAATCGAGCAGACCAAGTTGAATGCGATAAAGCCGATTGCCTTTGTCTTTCCGTCTGCAAATGCGTCGGCTGGAGGGCGCCATTATAATGTGTACTGTACACTCGGGGATCAGTCACGTCAAAATTTCAATCACTCCAAATTTTGATAGCGGCAAAATCTTTCAGTGAAATTTCTTTAAAAAAATAGAATATTTTGGTGATAGAATTCAAACCGCACTCATAAATTTTGAAATTGCCAATCTTCAATCCCTTTGTCAACTGCTGGCATGCATGGCAAATTTCTTAAGACTTCATGGTTTTCTGCACCAATTAAAGCCTTGTTTGGATGCATGTATATCGACTTCAATCCACATGTGTTGAAGTGTATTAGAGTGGAATTTGGATTGAGATGAATACATGCGCATCCAAACAAGGCCTAAGAGATTGCTTGTTGGATTGCTCCGGTTGAGGTTCCAACCCAACACGCTGGTCATGAGCAGTAAGACAACAATTTTCACGAACAGTGCTATCATGAACTTTGCAAATTTTACTTGAAGTTGAAAGCCTTGAACAATCAACAGAGATTCTGGCTTTCCAGTAAACTGAGAATAAAGCATATCTTTATTGCCACCACATTTCTTGTAGTTGTTGGATTCCTCCGAGGGCATATCCTTACGCTCTACTCCGGCCATCATATTTTCAGGTGTATCATCTCGTGTGGCACCATGACCTAAGGATGGCATTCATCTTTGTGACCATTTCTCCAATGATCTATCTTGCATTTTGCAAGCGTCTGTTTCAAGTGTTTCATCATACGGAAGAAGGGTGAAAACGCATGTTGCAAGCATCTGTTTCAAGTGTTTCAAATGTTTCAGAGGTATGTTGCAAGTGTTTCATATAGATATTGCAAAAATAGATCAGGATGTTGCACATGTTGCAATGGTTGTACACGTATGCTGCAAGCTCCTGTTCTCAATGTTTCATCTCTTTTTCCGACGTATGTTACAAGTGTGTTTATCTAGATATTGCATATGTTTTCACATATATGATGTAAGTGTTTTATTTGGATGTTGCATATGTTTACAATGATTTCAAGTGTTTTTCAAGTTTTTTTTTGCAAGTGTTTCAGACACATGTTTCAATTGTTTCATTTGTTTTCAGACGTATGTTGCAATTATTGCATATGGATGTTTCAAGCTAGATCGAGTGTTGCATCTCCCTCCTCGCCTTTCTGTTTGTCTCGCCTCGGTGTCACCATGGAAGGCGGCGGCGGTCTCATCAAGCGCTGGGTGAACCCCACGTGTTTTTGCGAGCGGCAAAGTGGGAGGAGACGGGCAGGGCAGATCTTGGACGCGAGACGGGGGGCAACGGCATAGGCGTCTGGACAGGGGGGCTAGCGTCCGGACGTCCGGGCGCCGGCCACGCCCTTTCTTTTTTCCTTTATTCCACAACATTTCTCTGAAATCGTGAAAATGGCTAGCCCATTTTTCTGAAACCAGGAAAATGGCCCACCCACAACTCTTCCGGGCCTGAGGCCTGTGACTGTGACCCACGAGGTTAAGGAATTGGGCTTGTTCTTGCTTCAACGCGTCTGGCCCAGGAAGGATGGCACGCTGTGACGAACACAAATCCAAAATCTTTGCGCGAATTCTAGACGTTGCAAGCATTTAATCCGCTCAATAAAAATTTGAGCAGTACTTAATCCCTGCCAGACCAATAAATTGATCAGACCACGTTAAATGTGATAAAGCCGATTGCCTTTGTCTGCTAGTTCCGTCTACAAATGCTTTGGCTGGAGGGCGCCATTATAATATGTACTGTACACTCGAGGATCAGTCACGTCAAAATTTCAATCACTCCAAATTTTGATAGAGACAAAATCTTTCATCAGTGAATTTTCTTTTAGAAAACTAGAATATTTTGATGATAGAATTCAAAACGCACTCATAAATTTTGAAAGTGCCAATCTTCAATCCCTTGTTCAACTGCTGGCATGCAAGGCAAATTTCTTAAGCCTTCATGGTTTTCTGCACCAAGAGCTTGCTTGTTGGATTGCTCCGGTTCAGGTTCCAACCCAGCACGCTGGTCATGAGCAGTAAGACAACGATTTTCACGAACAGTGCTGTCATGAACTTTGCAAATTTTACTTGAAGTTGAAAGCATTGAACAATCAACAGAGATTCCGGCTTCTCAGTAAACTGAGAATAAAGCATATCTTTATTGCCACCACATTTCTGCCGGTTAGTGGATTCCTCCGGAGACATATCCTTAAGCTTTACTCCAGCCATCACATTTTCATGTGTATCATCTCGTGTGGCGCCATGACCTATACAATGACATTTATCTTTGTGACCATTTCTCCAACGATCTATCTGGCACTTGATGGTGTAGCACATTTTTTTTATCGGGTACGACTTGGACGCATACAACCCACACACTCCACACTCACACCACACACACATACACGCGTGCGTGTCCGTACACACGCAAAAAAGAGATTGGAGGCTCTCTAGCCTCCGGTGCGGGTTTCCCACACGCACACACATGTGCACGTCCCATACACACGCAAAGAAGAGATTAGAAGCCTACCACACGCACACACACGCGTGCGCGTCCGTACACACTCAAAGAAGAGAGTGGGAGGCTCTCTAGTCTCCAGTGCGTGTTTCCCACACGCATACACACGTGCGCGTCCGTACACACGCAAAGAAGAGATTGAGAGGCTCTCTAGCCTCCAGTGTGTGGAAAACACGCAGTACCACTGAACACGCATGCATGAGTGTACCCTGCTTTTTCTAGAAAAAAATCCAGAAAATAGGTGCGACACCAGGATTTGAACCCTGGTGGGTAGCGTCCCACTGGACTAGACTGTCCTACCACTGGACAACAGGCCCATTCGCGACGGTGCTGTACTTGACACTCTCTCCTATTCAGAGTTCAAACAGTATAACTTGTACTCTAAACGCCTGATGGCAAGCCATGATCAATAAAAGAATCTTCAATTCCTCACTTTCAGCACTTAGGTATGTCCCTACATACATGCTCAGGAATTCTGTCTAGGAGCGCATGAACTCGCTAATCTCAGGCACAACGGTGGTCGTTCCGCCACCCGAACCGGAAGAAGCTGTGACGGCGGTGACTGTGTCGTCCCAGCAGGAGCCACTGATGGTGCCGCCACTTGTACGGCGCCGATGGTGGCGAACGTGCCGCAGCTTGTGCAGCCACCACCACTAGAGCCTGAGCGGCCGCTGGTGCCACCAGCCGCTGCAGGAGCCACTGATGATGCCACCACTTGCGATGGCACCGCCAATGGTAGCTTACGTGCCGACGTTGGTGCCGGTACTGCATACATTGCTGGTGGTGGTGGGAGAGCCTCTTGCCACCGCCACTGGTGTGGGTGTTAACGAGGACCATGACTTTCCCCGGAATGGAAGCTACCTACTTGAGGTGGCGAATGCCATCTTGGACGTCGGCGGACGACGAAATCAGCGGTGGCGGCGTGTTACGGGAAATAATCATTGACCAGCCGGAGGTTGAAGACAAGGGTAGAAGAAACATTTATCCCACATTTTCTCTTGAAATCTAAAAAATAAATAAAACAGTCGGTGCGGCGTGTTATGTTAAATATATGCAGTTTCATAATGGTACTGGGCATATTTCGCCGTTAACGGTGCGAATTGGCCAAGCCCATTAAAATTGGATGTCCTATAGCAAAATTTGCCTATTTTTTTCAGATCACGAATAACTTGCACTCCAAGGTAAAACACGCTATATTGACATTACCACCTACATAAAGACGAGCCGTCACATCCTAGTAGAGCGTCGCATCATCTTGGTCCCTAAAATGAAATGAAACGGTAAAAAAAAACCCGTGTTTCGCCCACTTTGGTCGACTCCCTACCGCCACATCGCTAATACCCCCAGTCATCATCGCCGTCGACGAGGTCGCCCCAACATGACCGCCGCCACCAATGGAGCACGGCCTACCCGCACACCAAAATGCAAATG